GCCGTCTGAATGCCCTTACACAGGGCAAAAAAGGTCAATGAATATTTTATTTTGAAGAAACTCTATCTATGAAAATCACACGAAAATAACCAGATAAGCAGAGTATATATATATGACAATATATATGATAGCAAAAACTTAATAAATATTTTAAAAAATGTTGGAACTTTTCTTGAAAGGTACAACATTTTTCTTTCCTAGTAAATTTTAATTCACGTTTGTATCCGATTGCGCAAACATTTTGCCAATATCCCAGTGTAGACAAACAGGCGTCGCCCGGGGAGGCTGGTGACCCAGCAGGGGATCCTGGACAGCATCTTGCGCAGTGCCCAATTGATTTTCACGGTGGGGCGGGCCCCGAGGTCGAGCTCAGGCTCAGTCGGGCCTGTCTTGGTTGTCAACCGAGCTACTTTGGCCCATCCACGCTTGGCTTGGCACAAGTCAAAGCTAGTTGGAAGTCAATGCGCTTGAGTGCATTGTGGCCCGGCTTTATCTTCTCTTTTCGGGTCTGCTCTGGTTTTGTTTTAGTCTTACTATATCTTCTCGCTGCGATGTTTTGTACTTTTCTTCTCTGCTCTGTGTTTTGTGTGTGCACTCTTGATTTCCTTAAGCTGCTGCAATTAAAGGGTGCATCCTTGCCAGCAGCAAGTAGCAAGCAGCCTGCAGCCAGCTATTATTTCAGGCGAGTGCGCCACTTACAAGCTAGCCGAAAACTTTTTAATATGCTTGCGAAATTTTGTCAAAATTGCAAGTTAAATAAGTAAGTACAAGGCACGCGGAGATGACAACGCTCAGACGACTAAAGCAAACACAACGGCAAACTGACAAAGGACTCGGGACTCGAGAATCAGGTCTTGAGAATGCCAAGGAGAAACCATCAACTTAATTTCCCGCTCAAGTCAATCCAACTTTTGTGCAATTTGCGTGAGAAAATGGGAAAAGAAAACCGAAACTGGGAACTGAGAACTCAGAACTGAGAAACTCAACCGAGCTGAGTGGAAGCCACAAAGTTTGATTGCAATTGAGACAAATACTCGTGATGTTGGCTGTGTGTGAGCATCGGCAAAAAAGAAAAAAATCTGCACACTACTACGCCTGCCGAATAATAAATGTCCTGGCACCTTTGGGAAAAAACTTTTGAGCCTTTGATGGCATGTGATGCATTTTATGGATTTCCGATGCGCAGCCACCTACCCACACACATGGCCCTTTTCTCAAAAGGGTATTTCATGCAGCTCTGCATTTAATTGAATTGCCAGCAATAAGCAATGGCACTTTTGCCAACTTCTCCTTCTTCTTTGTCGCCGAAGGACAGCCGGAAACTTTGCGAGAAGAGCCCCAAGCAGAATTCATATAATATACGTTCCTTCTTTGCATTTCAGCTTGTATATCAAAGTGTCAAAGAAGCGGGTCACACGGAATTGTCAATAAATGTGCACCTTGCAACTTGCTATTATTGCATAGAAGCTCAAAGGCACCGCCAAAACCACGAGTGAAAAGAATTTCAGACCTTAATCAAATACGCATGCTCATTAAACTTTTTCAATTTAAAGCCTTTGGGTGTCAAGTTTTGTGGTCTCGTGCGTCAACTCATTAAAGTTGCATGGCAACAAAGTTGCCAAGTCACCACCTCCCGGAAACTCCCAAAGGACTGCTGGAGCTACTGGTGCTGCTGCTGCTGCTGCTGCTCCACTCCAAAAACTCAAGCTCAAATGGCATGTCATAAATTTCAGCCACAAAATGTATCTCAGCATGCGAGGAGCAACAGTGCCCGGTATACAATATGCAAATGAAATTATCGAGCCCATCCTGGAGGCAAAAGCAACGCATTAGGAGCTCAGAACCTTCTCGGTCGGAGTGTCGGTCGGAATAGAGTGCATATTCCGGGTCCTGTGGCCCAGCCTCTGAACCAAAAAATACGGACCAGCACTTGGGCCATATGCAAATATTGGGTCTAAGAGTGAGAGAGTCAGCTTCTGGAGGAGAATTAAAAACTGAGATGTCGGTCGAGTCAAATGGAAGTGGGTAATGCCAATGAAATCACTTTCGGTTCGGCAATTGAGAGGATTGGCTTCAGCTCGTAATGAAAATTGCTAGTTTGCCATCTATCCACATATGCAGAAAAAAGGTTCTTAAATTAAGAACACGAACTCGTTATGCTGTACAATGTGGCAAACAGCAATCATTTCCGAGAATTGGCAGAATCTGTGAAGGGAATATTACGGTAAATCATAATAAAGTTATCAGAAAACCTTGCTTAACCACTTAAAATCCCAATTGCAAGCCAAGGATCACCAGGTGATGTCACCCTAATCGCATTTAATTAGAAAACGCAAATTATGCCACCGAAAACTGGCACTAGAACCCGCCAAGTTGGCATTTGGCATGCGGCCGGGTCTTAGCCACAAACTCAGCATTCAGCATCCAGAATCAGCCTGACACGTTGCCGCACTTGCCCGGCTTTTAATGAAATCGCAGAGCATATGCTACGACGAGTGGATGCGGTGGTTGGGCGGTTTAGGTGGTTCAGGTGGCTTGGGTGGTTTCGAGGGGTCGGTGTCAGTCCCACACACTCACCTGAAGTTTTATTTCAACGGGGGTCAGGTGGGTCACGCCGCCAGTCAAAGCTGACACGCACACGCACATATTTAGGCCAGGTCGAGTGGGAGTGGAATGGGATGATCAGGAAACGGATGTGGGTGGGGGTGGAGGCAGGATGCCCTCATTGCGCCCCACTGTGATAAGAAAGTGTCAACACAAACGTGACAAAGCTACAAATGTTTAATTTTTATGGCTGTGGTCGGGCATTTGCCTTGGTTTGTGGGCGGTTCACGCTGCGCGTGCCTCGCCGCTTAACTCAACTTATTTACAGTTGGCAAAGGGTTCGAGAGATTCTGGCCACATTTGGTCAAGCTCTCCGTTTTTGTGCCGAAAATCACGTTTTTACCGTAAACATGTTGCAAAGTTCGCGGCTGTTTTATCTTCTGGCATAGTTTTTCCCGCTTTTCCCGTTTCCCCGTTTTCCCGCTTCCAGCCAGTGGGCCATTGGGTCGAGAACGTGTCACATGGCATAGAGAAAAATGGTTCTGGCTGCAACAGTAAAATATTTAAATTTAGTTAGGGCTTAAGCTCTCGGCATTTGTTTGTTTGCCAGCTGAAAGAAAAACTTGCTCAAGCCAAATTAATTTAGTATAAAATACTTCTTAAGAAATATTTAGAAAAGCTATGGCAAATAAGAAATCGCCAGAGAAAACATTTTGTTTTGACTGGGTTTTTGTTTTTTTTTTTCTCCCCAAAGAAGAAACTTAATTTCTATGCAAGTTTTTCGACTCACAGGCGGCTTTGTTTGGTTGGCTAAAATTTTAATGCATGCCAAGACCACATGAGAGTGTACTGGAAAACACACACACACATACAGGCACACACACACATAGACACATTCGGAGGCATAATGAATGTGCAGCAACATTTTTGATGGCGCCCGCTGACAACAATAAATTACTTTTGGCTTTAAACGAAAACCATTAGCATAAAACTTGGCAACAGCAACAACAGCGGCCACAACAGCAACCAGCCAACAACATCCTTTTAACGCGGATACTAGGATACTAGGCGTATGCGCAATATTTGTCTGGCTCTAATTTTAGACAACAATTTGCCAGCACTTACATGATTAAATTGCAGCCTCGAACGCTGATGATTATGGGGTGGCGGCTGGTTACCAGTAATGGTGATGTGATGGCTATGGAACAAAAATGTGAGGGAAAACTTTTCAAATATGCGAGTCTTTTAATTAACTTGCCGGCACTTGTGAAGCTCTGTGTTGTAATATATTGTACGAATATTCTTCCCTCTTTCGACCCTTTTTTTTTCTTCATCTTTTTTTCCCTGCCCCAGCATGCTTTTATTAAGCGTTTCATAATTTGATGCAGTAAACATGCTAATTGCGCCGCCTTGCTTCCTTTTTTCCTCTGCTCTCGGCACTCGACTTCACTTCACTTCCACTTCCACTCCACACAACTCAACTCGACTTGCCTCAACTCAACTCGTTTCGCTATGCCGCCCTTTTTGCCAAGACTTTGCAGGCCAAGAAAGCTGCCAAAAAAGTGTGTATAAAATAATAGGAAAACATGGCAAAGGACAGCCGAGTGGAAGCCGTGTCGAAAGCAAGCCAGTGAGAATTAGTTGCCCCAAAGTGTTTTCCGTTTTTAATATTTCCTCCGACTTGGGGAAAAAGTTGCGAACAGAGCATCCCGGCCACTTTGGACACTCTTTGGCCCACGGCTTGTCGCTTTTCAGCCGCTTGGCCACTGAGCTCACTGCTCTCACTGGCTCACTTGCTCAATTTCCGCTTTTAATTAAATGAACATTAGGCCAAAAAGGCTGAGCTGCCTTCGAAGAGCCCACCGAAAAACCCAACCACCTGATGGCATTTGCCATTCGCTGCATTTTACATTGCAAGCGGTAGCCAAATTGCGCGTAAATTGCATGCAGTTAGTTTTAAAATTTAAAATTAATTTTTAGCTCGCTTTTGCCTGAGCTGGTCTGAGCTGGCCTTGTGTGTGCTTTGTGTACTTTAATAGCTGTTAATATTTATGAACTAAAAGTTCAAACAACAAACAGTCGAATAGAGCCAACTGTTGTCGATATTTAACGATGCATTCGGCGGGCGAAATTGTGTGTTTGCCAGAAATCGCTCTATACATTGGATGCCAGCCAGACCTAAACAAACAGAAGGCGTGAATTGGCTCATAATTATTCAATAAGAGTTTATTTAAAACAGGCCATTATGGTCTTATTGATGAAAATTAATTTAAGGCCAATTTTGGTTTGAAATCCACATTAGGGAATCTGAATTTTTCCAAGCTAATTAGGTTTTTGGTTTAAGTCCTTAATGTAACTGATTTTTTATAGCTATCAATATTTATTAATATTATTTATTAAACTTTATTATTTCGCACTACTTTTATTTATATTTGCATACCTATGGGCTTTAAACTTATAAAATACACGTTTCTTAATATATTTTTAGGAGCCATATTAAACTTAAAATTTATACAAAACTACTCGTTATAATCTGTCAAACGACCTGCACTGGTCGGTATTTTTCTTCCCTGGCGTAGAAGTAAATGCAAATCAAGATAAAGCAGTCCAAGCCAATTAACAACTTTAGTAAGTTCAACTGCATTAATTGCATTCTGAGTACTTCCATATCTAAGGAACAGCTAAACCATTAGGGGATGTTATATAATACTCAAGAAATAACTCACCATCTTGCTCCTTTTGTGCCTGCAACAATTGAAGCTCGAGTTCGGGCAATAGAAGATCGGATGGCCTGTCGAAAGTAAAGTCGAAACTGACAAGATGATCAGATACATCAAGGGGACTACTTCCAGCGGGAGCTGCCTGCACAAAATCCACCCATTGGATAGTTAGGAAAAGGATCCAGAACGAGATACTTAGCCACGACATTGTCGATCAACGACTGATGAGTGAGGAACACTTTATGGATTGCCCCGAGTCGAGGCTCCCCAACATTTGCGTAAATAATGAAATAATGAACACAAGCTGCGTGAGATGTTTTGACTGGTAGTTATATTTGCGTTCCCGTTGTTTAAATACCCCCACACAGAACAGCCGAGAAGCAAACAATGACGAGCAATATCCGATGCGAAGGTTAAGCGACAGAATTTCTCCTCATGAGGCAGAAGTACTGTTGGTCGTGCTAGTTTCCTCTGTGGTTCTTCATTCTGTTCCTGAATCCGTAGTAGTTGTTGTTGAATCTTCAGTGGTCGAAGTTGTAGCTTCCGTTGTCGAAGTTGTAGCTGCCGTTGTTGTTGAAGTTGTTCCTTCGGTTGTTGAAGTTGTACCTTCGGTTGTTGAAGTTGTACTTTCGGTTGTTGAAGTTGTACCTTCGGTTGTCGAAGTTGAACCTTCGGTTGTCGAAGTTGTTCCTTCGGTTGTCGAAGTTGTACTTTCGGTTGTCGAAGTTGTTCCTTCGGTTGTCGAAGTTGTACTTTCAGTTGTTGAGGTTGTACCTTCGGTTGTCGAAGTTGAACCTTCGGTTGTAGAACTTGTTCCTTCGGTTGTCGAAGTTGTACTTTCCGTTGTCGAAGTTGTACTTTCCGTTGTCGAAGTTGTACTTTCCGTTGTCGAAGCTGTACTTTCCGGTTCCAAAGTTAGAAGATCTATTTCGGAAGATGATGTCGTAGACTCGTGGCTGTCATCCCTTAAACCGAAAATATCCTGCAAAAAAGATTATTAACTCGTTAAAATGTTTTTATGCTGAGAGATATTAAAATCAATAAAAGTGTCTGCAAAGTAACAATCGTAGTAACAATATTTGTTTTTCGACAACAGCACAATATATCAACCTAAATTCTAATTTCAATGTTTAATCTTTTCACCAAAAGCTCGAAAAAGTTCAGCTAAGAAATAAAAAAGGAACATTTGTTCAAATACAAATAGGTTTTTTTTTAAATATATCAAGTAAACAAACTACTTTAAGATTTATAAATATATCTTGCGCGTGCAAGTCTAAAAACTTGGCATTTTTCCATTCGTTGGGCTTAGTTATAATTATTAGAAAATTAATATTTATTCAAAATTTCGGCTTAAATATGAAATTTTGTTTATACAATCTCTCATAACTTAAAATACCTTTTTGAATAGCTGCCATAAGCCGTGTAAAGACTCGTTAATATCCTCCAGACCATCGGTAAATTTCGCCTTCGGTGGCGGCTTTGCTTCAGCTGTTTTATTATGGCTGCTGTTTTCCGAGCCTCCAAGTCCGAAGAGATGCAGTATGGCGCCCAGGTGACCATTTGCACTGGCCAGGCAGCCGAGAAGGCAGAACCAGATTAGCAGATTCATGACGGGCAGGGAACTGAATGGTTTTTCTCTATCCTACAGCAACTAGCAAATGCGATGAAATGTCTAATACAACGCAAATACATTTCGTTTTTGACGCTTGTTTCGAGCTGATTATTCTCAATAACCCTGAATCTAATTAAATAAACGGCTGTTTAAATAACTGGCAAATACCTACCTGACATTATTTGATGCAGGTGTCAGCGACTCATGAATGAACCGTGACGTGACATAAGTGTTCTTAGAAAATTGTTTAAATTATAACATGAACGTGATCAAACATAGCTGCAGAGTTACCTAACTCAACAAGAAAAAACAAATCAGTTGGTAAATAACAAAAAATCTAAAATGATTTTAAAGGGAAAATTGAAAATAAGTTTAATGTTTTTTAGAGCAAAACTATTATATCATTTTTATGAGCCACTAACCTTTAATGTATTTGATTTCCTAATCAGGAATTTTCTCTAAAAATTAATTATTTAATTTAGTTATAATTTCAATAGGTAGTCAATGTCATCTTATAGTTTGACTTACAATTTTGTATGACAGTAAACTTGTCATAACTTTCAGCCAATTTTAAGTAACGAGCAAAACACACTGACTGCATCTTTGTCAAATCCAACAATTTCCTTCAGCTGCACCTCCTTGAGGCTGGTCTTTGATCACCGCTGAATCTGATTTTCCAACATTCTGTCATAAAAGCAATTCACCCTCCACTTGGTAGGGTGCGACTCAAGCGCATCGAGTTGTAAGCGGTAGAAAAGCATTTCAAATGCATTCACGAGCAGGAGCGTTTTAAATTACTCACAACGTGGAGAGGACTTTGGGTGGTAATCAGAGGTCTGATGATTCATTCACTTGGTGGAGGAAGACATGGAAGTGGGATTGGTTATGGGAATGGGTAACCTCTTGATGACGTTGTGTGCCAGTGAGTTTCAATTAATATGCAGCAATTGCTTGTACACGCCTGGGTTATCTACTGCCACCTAATCGTTTATTTATGTGCACTTCCTTTGCCATCTAATTAACTGAGTGCTGCACGTGGATTACCTGTCATTTCCACCCGTTGTTTATCACCTGTTTCAATTGATCAAATTTGCTTGAGGAAATCAAGCGTCCGCACAAAAGCAGCACAAGTTACAGGGACCTAATAAAAACGAGGATATGGCAGCAGAAACAAGCAGTCTCATGACTTGCTCCCGCAGCCTGATCTATGGCACTGCAAGTGTCACATAAATTACAAGCGGAAGCATCAAAATGCTGTCAAATGAAGAATGGGGAGGAGAAGTGGGAAAAAGCCGGAGAGTGAAGTTGATTCGAGTCGCGTCGAAAAGGATTTTCATTGCCGCATTCTGGGAGCGAGTTCCACTTGCAGTGCACCGTAAAAAATATTTCACTTTCACATAAAAGAGTTTCTCGAAGAAGTGACCATGCCGTTTTATGAGTTTTATTTGGGCACAGTGTGACCTTTTCAAGTAAAAATATTCCTTTAAGATTAGATTTCCAATCCTAGTATCGATAGTAGGAAATTTCCAATAGCTGCTGATCCATTTTCGGGGGGCACATTCTCCCTGTGCAGCTGCTTGAGTCGACTTTGCTTGGCTTGTTCGGTAGCTTGGCGTTTAGTTTTTCGCATTGGCACTTTGTCTTCATCAGAGGCGACGAGCAGTGGCCGCAACAAGCTCATCATAGCCATCGACGGCCGCATCATCGTCTCTTCATCGTCATTCTCATCGCTGTCGTCGGCGTGCTCCTACATAGCTATAAACATCAATTTAGCAACGAAAATTGGTTTTCAGATAGCTTCCACACACACACACACACACACATGCACACGTACACTTCTTCAGCTGGAGAAAAATTGTTTTTCGCTTTAAGTGACAAGCAGTGAGAACGAACTGACGACAACTTTGTCGATGTCTTCGTTCCCGTCTTGGCGTAGAATTCCCTTTTATTTATTTGTTGTTTTTTTGGGCTAGTGAATTTCGTCATGTCGAAGCACCCGTGTGGAAAATAATAAGCCAAAAGAAGAGACAACCGCACTGAAAAATAATACCAGCATTGCCCCAGTTTCATACATCTTAGCAATTATATGGCTGTCATTTCGTGGCCTTAAACTGGCATATTTTAAAAAGCTGGCTTTGATTTCGAATGAATATATATATATATATATTTATATACATGTCGATTTCATGTGAATATTGCAGCATTTCGTGCGACATTGAAACGATTTGACCACGCCCATGCTGAGCCATAAATTTATCATTGCATAACCACAGGCGCATGAATAAGACATTCGAATTGTGGTAAATGGAATGTGGAGAGTCCGATGGGAAGCCAGCATATATTGATAATGATTAGATTGATTGAAATTTTAATGGCTGAGTGATGGTCTAAGCTGAGCTGGCCAGACAATTGACTAAGAGTGGCAAGCAATCCTCGGCCACTCTATCGTAAAATGCCAGCAGAACCTGTCATAAACCACAAGCACACAGACACACTCCAAAAAGACTACTTCCATGGCGTCAAAAGCGAAAATTATTTAAATTTATGCCTGGATCGAAAAGGAAAACGAAGTAAAAAAGCGAAGACGGCGACCGAAATGTGTGCCAAATGAAATTCGTTGAAATTTTATGCAAACCTCAACAAATTGTCATTAAAAAGCGGCAACACACACATACAAACATACATACATACGAACAGGACTTGGCCATAAACAGAGCCGCCATTTGACCGTCCATATTTATGATGTGAACGACAAGACAAAATGGACTTCCGCCCAACAAAGAGAGGAGTGTATATGGGGGCCATGGAGTTTCGGCTCTTTGCATTTTAATAGACTGACCCAAACGCTTTTGAAACCACATGCAGAACGCGAAAATACAAGCGCTTGCACATGTGTATATTAGCCAGGGATGTGTGTGCAAGTGTACATGTGTGTGTATGTGCGAGGGGCATTTGCAATGCAAATTGGCGAAAGTTTAAAAAATTTATGCGGCTTTAATGGCACCTGGCGACTGCAGACCGGACCTCGGATCCAAAAACCATACCATCACCACACCACAACACACCAACCAAGACTATTCCAGGAAATTATATACTAAATAGCAGAATAATTTTTTGGCATTTGTGCTGCTCATTTTTTCTTTTCGCTTCCACTGGCGTTTTTGTCGACTACATTAAATGCAAATTTATGCCTATTTGCTGCAAGAAAGTGTAACGGAACCTTTCTGTTGCTAGCTGCTTGTTAAACTCGCATAAATTTCGCTGACGGCTTCCCATTTTGCCTGACACTAAAAGGATATAGCACCAGAGATGGTGGTAGAGCCTTTTTACCGAAGTAAGGTAAAATACATGTGACGAAAATGTTTTTAACCAACAAATTAAAATACTTTGCTATGCTCCCTAATCACTTAAAAGAAATAAGAAATTATTATGATCTAAAAAGTAGAGAAAATCTAGGTATAACTACCAACTGTCATCTCTTATTAAAGGCCCTATTTTTCCACCCAAATATTGAGCGTTTCATCAAAGCAATGGGCGTGCCGTAAAGGGTGGTAAAAATAAGAAGGTTTCGCAAAAGCTAAACTATGGCAAACTATCGCCACTTGCATTGTGCATTCGAGCAATGCTCGCAACTTATTGTTGTTATCGCTCTTTGCACTTCTTTTGACTTCTTTTGGCTGCCACTTGGCAGGCGAAACTCTTTGGAACTTGGCTAAGTAAAATTTATGTGCATTTCTTGTGCGCTTCTGTCCCTCCAGTGTGAAATGTGCCAAGAAATGTTTGGTTTTGGTCTTTGGCTTTTTTACTCCCATAGGCGCAGCAGCATTGGAAAAACGTTAGCTTACAATAATTAGCCATTAACAATTGCCCGGGCCAATTGGACCAACAAAGACATTTGAACCAGCTGCCTGCTGTTGCCAATTTTTTATTTGTTCAGGCCACAAAGTTTTACGCTTTATTGTGCCGACTTATCCCATCTTGGGTTTGCCCTGGCAAATTGCAGTCTTGCTGCAACTTTTTGCCTGACGCGCTCAATAAAACGATTTATGCTGCTTGCCCCTTTCGGGTCCTGAAAACTTTGTGAACTTTTGCCAACATTTGTTTTGTCTATTGCCTTGTATCTTGTGGCATTTCTGGCAGCCTCGAACCACTCTCAGCCACTCAACCAGTGAGCCAGTCAGCCAGTCAGCCACTTGACTTGGCCTAAACTCTTCAACTTATTAGTGCAGTTTATTCACCGACTCAAGAAGCTGCGTGCGGTTTGTCTTGGGGTGCACATAAATCTCGGCGAGGCAACTTTCGGACACGGCCAGCAAATAAACACTCGAGGTCATAAATCAGGGGGGCGCGCGCTCGGTTAGCTCAGCTGCAACATGGCCAACATGGCGAACATGACGTGCAACATGCACCGCACAAAAAAGTGCATTCGGAGGGGCGGTTAACCAAAAAAGGGGGAGATCGAAGCTCCTTGGGCGTGGCTAATGCAAATCATCCAGCGGCGACAACAGCTGCAAATTCTCGCCAAATTGGCCTGGCTGTAACTGGTTGGCTAACTTGGCATTCATGGCCCTGTGATTCTGTACGCCCCTGCATAATTTATCATTTATTTGGGCTCATTATCCCAGCACAGATATGAATAATTATAGGATAGCTAAAATAAAAATGAAAAATAGAAGTGCATTGCTAATTGAAGCAAATTTCATATCGCTTTAAGCCCCATGTCAACACATTTGAGGCTTTGGTGAATTGGACAACGACCTGGATTATATTTTGCGGGTTTATCTCCCGGTGCTGCATGTTCAACAATCGTTGTTCGATTTGTGGCACCTGCTACATTTCGGCCACTGTCAAACTGCAACTCATGTCATGTGTGACAAAAATCGAACATTGATGCCATTGACAGGCGCAATTTTGGCCAGCAATTGTAATTGGTTTAGGTCCTGGCTGGCAGTTGTAGTTCCAGCAAGTTCGAACCATTCGTTAATTAACATGTTCGTGGCTTTGCTGGATGTACCAGTCTATGTCCTAAAGCGAGCTTATGTCGATTGGGCTGGACCT